ACCTGAAATTTTTAACTCAAACTGCAAGTACTGATGTTTATTTCGTCAAATTTTAAATTTTTAGGGATGTCTCTCTTGGAAAATTTCACGAGAAAACCGATGGATGAAACCACTTTTAGAATCTCAAAGTTTTGTATGACCGGAGGTATGAGTTAAAGTTTCCAAATTTTGTCCGACCTCTCCTATTGACTCGATCTACTGTGTGACGGCTTTCTTTTTTGTTCTCCACTGAAAGAAAAGGCGCTTGGCTCAAGCATAATGATTCTTGAATTTAGCGGTGAGAATTTTTTTTTTATCTTGATCAAAGCTGAATTTTTCTTGATACAAGGAAAACAATGGTTGGGTTAAACAAGAAAGTAGTTAATACTATGCAGCAAAATTCAAAATACTTCTTGGCGACAAATTTAAGATCCTTTTTTTCTCAGTGTCAGCTTTTGCAGTACTGGAAAAAAAAAAAAAAAAAAAAAAAAAAAAAAAAAAAAAAAAAAAAAANAAAAAAAAAAAAAAAAAAAAAAAAAAAAAAAAAAAAAAAAAAACACATTGGATCTAGAGACCAGACTCTTAAAAACATCGTCAAGAAAAAATACTCTTGATTCAATCGGATTTTTGCTTAAATCAAGAACCAAGCCTTTTAATTTGAGCGGATTTCCTTTTGATTCAAGCAAAAATCTGATTGAATCAAGAGTATTTTTTCTTGTCACTGTTTTCAAGAGTCTGGGACTCTAGATCCAATGTGTTTTTTTCCCAGTGAGGGTGTAGCTCCAGTCCTCTCGTCGCAAGTATCGAAAAACCAGACGAATTTTCAACAAGTGTGCAACTCAGGAGCGTTATGCGAATTTCCGCCACGGGTCGCGGTGCAGCGCGGAGCTGCAGTTCTGCACGGGCCTTTGGAAGCCGGCTCCGTCGTGGAGAAGTTTTATGGTTTTTCGCCTATTTTCCCCCTTCACCTCAATTTCCTCGCCTTCTTTTCGGTGCCTCCATCTCGCTCAGCGAATGATCGATTATCGATAGTCCCTATTTGAAACCGTAGGAAAGAATCGATTATCAAGGTCACCCTGGTCATCGAGCCTTTCCATAGATTTAAATGGCAGATCAATCGATACATGGCAAAGCACTGATCCCACTGCCATGCCGCACGTTCCTGCGTTCTCTGCACGAGCAGATCTACGCGATCAGCGAGGATTCCATCTGCATGTCTTACGATTTCTGTCGCAGCGATCCCGGCTCTAGTTTTCCGCCCATTCGTTCGCCCATTATTGGCTCTTCGGCGAATCCGCCAGCGAGGGATCTAACTGGCAGTGGCCCTTGCCGAATCGTGGCTTGTGCGGTCTTCCCCCGTAAAAGCCGCGAAATTGGACGCTGTTTCTCTATTGTTTTACTCGGAATCTTCGGCTCAATACCCCCCGTAAAGTGCCCCGGAGTGGATCGTATCCCTCGTGCAACGACCTCGATTCGATTTGTCATAGGTCCTTTTTCAATCTCCCGGGCAGGAGTTTTAGTATATATGAGCATGCATTAAGTGTCAAATATAGCGTTGTATTAAATTGGGTACGTGTCAACCTTCTTTTTCAGTCTCTCGCTCTGCTCACTGACTCGCGCGAACTCAAGGCAGAACAGAAAAGCGTTTAGATTAAGTTATCCTGTCTTGAAGCTACGCTTGAAAAAGTTCGATCCTGCTTATCGAAAGTTGAGTATCGCTTATCGATCGGAATATTCGACTTTTTTCTTGTTCAGTGCGAAAAAAATGGCAGAATCCTTACTTTTGCGAGGAATTTTAAAAACATGTTTTTACTTCGCGTTTGACCTCCTATTATCTAGTCGCTAAATGAAGGTGGGAGGAAAAGAATCGTTCAGGTTTTTGAAAATATTTTTTGGTGGTATTTACTGCATAGGCTCGGCTCTTCGGTTAAAACCCGTCTTGGTAAGGAGGAGGAGGAGGAGGAAAAACCACCTTGCAATAGGAGGTTTTTTGTTTTAGAAAGGAAGCGAAGAGTTCAGAGCTTTCGTAGTATTTTATGGTTCGTAAAAATATATCATTAGCTTACGTACGTGCTGGTACATACTATTTATTTAGCAGAGTGCTGACAAACTCCCAAAAATTATTCGACATGAAAATATCTAACTTTACGAGCACAATATTCCATAGACATCCGAACTTTCTTATGCAAGAAAAAGCAAAATCCTGAAGGTGGTTTCATAACACTAATATCTTGGGCCCTTGTTATTGTACTATGTTATCCGGGAAAACGGAATTTCGACGGCCAAAGTTTGAGACCACTAATCTTCATTGCGGTGTCTCGTAATCAGAGCTCGTAATGTTCGTTTCTATTTTATTTGTGCGAAGAGACACGTCAACTTTATGGCTTGAAATTTAAACAGAATATTTTAGTGGCAGAGAAGAAAAATCGACGAAATTTTCAAGAAATTACCCTGACTAATTTTTTAAAGAAACAATTAAGTATGACAGGTAGTCTGCAGCAACGCAAACGCACATACGGGGTTTCATATTTTGCCAATTGATTTGATTCATAAAACATCATTTTTTCCTTACAGTGTTCATTATTTTCCATGCAAAAGCACAAACAGCACCTGAAACCTAGTGTAAAGGGTCTTATCGCAATTTTTTCTACTCTGACGAGGCGGGGAATCGTATAGTTACAGTTGTCTAAATCAGGATTAAGAAGCATCGTTGAGTTTGAACCAATTTTCCGGTAACTCTGCCCCGCGTTACGGCAAAGTTTTACGCCTGCCCCAAATATGAAGATGAGGTACTTCAAGGAGGATTTTCCTACATTACCATCCGACCATTAAAAAGTTTGGCGCTTACAGGAGATGACTGCCACACTAATTTTAAGCGTAAACAAAAAGTTTCCGCCTTCTGACTTTGGCAGATTAAGGAGTTGCTCGTGGGTAATAAACAAAAATGTATATTCTCATACGAACATGTTGCCAAATAGAGCTTTGAGATTTAATGGAATATGCCAAAGTTTTCGATTCCAAAGTCAATTGAATCAGTGAGAAGGAAAACGCACCAACTCGGTAACTCGAAAATGATCAATTTTCATTAAAGACCGTTAATTTACATAAAGGTCATTGAAGTTAGCGCATCTGTTCCAACTTGGACTTTTAAAGTGTCCATGAGCACATGTCTTTCGGCAGCAAAAATCTTTTTCTTAAACTAACTTCTTCACCTTCTGTGCAGTTTTGCGCGTGTCTTGATTATTTTTATTTTTCCGAGTTGGTGTGTTTTCGTTCTCACTGATTCAATTATCCTCTGGACACAATTATTGAAAAAGGAGAGGTTTCACCCTGTTTCTCGAAGATCCGAACATGACAACAATCTAAAAATAAGGAGTTAACGGCCTTTATGATGGCTATGAATGGCTTCTCTTCAGGTCCATCAGCTCACTGGAAAAAAAACACATTTGATATAGAGTCCAGACTCTTGAAAACATCGACAAGTAAAAATACTCTTGATTCAATCAGATTAAAGCTTACATCTAAAGGAAATCCGCTCAATTCAAGAGGCTTGGTTCTTGATTTAAACAAAAATCCGATTGAATCAAGAGTATTTTTTCTTGTCGATGTTTTTAAGAGTTTGGACTCTAGATCCAATGTGTTTTTTTAAAATTTGAAGAGTCTGCGAGCTTTCGGTACTGATGACTCGAAACTTTCCAGGTTGTCGGGGGCGATAAAACTTCCCAGCGCTCAGCTCCAGACCTGGGAGTCGCGCGGCCCGGAAACGAATGTCATCGGGATGGGCGCGGGAAGTGTAAAGCGCGGCATTAATACACGACAGATACAAGTAATCAGGCGCGAAAAGTCGCGGCATCTCGGGACGGGGCCGTCTGTGTGAAATTGCGAATTAATTCAGTCTCGCCGAAGGTGCGATAATTAGACGACACGAGGTTCGGAGGCGACACGGAAAGGGTTGGGTTGCGGCGAGGAGGCGCCTGTAGCCGACTGAGATTAAAAGGTTCCCGGCGAGGATTCAACCTATTCAAAACAGCTTTATAACTGTCGATAATGTACCCGACCGACGCGCTGCGCCCCCCGCCGAAAGTTCGCGCCGCTCCGCTCATTAGCCGGTAGAAAGGGCGGTGGAGGCGCTACTGTCGAGCTTTTTTCACGCCTCGCCGATGGAGATGTCGCATATGTGAGGAATTCGCGATTTGACTGTTGATTCTCATGCAAAAGTTCGCGAGAAACACGATGATGCCTCTGGTTTTCTCTAAAATTAACTCCCAAGCTCAAAAAAAGCTCTCAAGTTGAGGCCAAAATTTAGGAGATATCCCGCGCTATCTTGAGAGTCCACCTCTACATCAAGACAAACTCTCCATGCAAAGACAGGGAGCAAATACATTGACAGGGCTGCCACTTTATTTGGGGACTCTAAAACTGAAAACACAGCATCACTGCTAATGTATTTGCTCCCTATCTTTGCATGGAGAGTTTGTCTTGATGTAGAGGTGGACTCTCAGGATAGCGTGAGATATCCCCTTCATTTTAGCCTCAACTTCAGAGCATTTTTTGACCTTGGGAGTTGATTTCAGAGAAAACCAGTGGCACCATCGTGTTTCTCGTGAACTTTTACGTAAGAATCAACAGTCAAATCGCAAATTCCTCACACATGCAACATCTCCATTCGATGACGTCATTGGGTGCCGGGACTCGAATTCCGGCTTTGGTCTCGAGCGTACCCATATTCTTGCCCATCTACCGGAGCCTTTCGAAATTATGATATTTTTATGATTTTGGTGATAAAATAAACTTCATGACGTCTTGAAACTCTCTGTATTGCTTTTCCTCCGATTGGCAAGAATATACTAACAAAATTCCAAGTCAGAATGTTCCTTAGGTTGGTGAAAAAATTCAACATAAGAAAAAATTAGGTATCATCCGATTAAGTTAGGGTGATTCTGATCATTCAATACGTCATTTATCGATACTCTTCTTCATTTTTTAAGGGTTTACCTTATAATCTGCTTTGTTTGTTCCAGATTTTGTTCCCGTCGCTGAATTTCTTATTTGGTAAGTGATCATCCCTTTGGATTTTTATTCATAAAGGAATTACAGGAGATGATGACTGTTTTGGTCCATGCACCCACACCGCTGAAAATCTGAAAATTCATTTTTTACCACCAGTCCCTAATTTACACATTTTTCATTCAGTATGCGTTAAAATAACATGTAGCGCAAATCATTCAGAGTTAAATGAACTCCTAGTGATTCACTCATCGTGATGCAGAAGGCCCGTATATATACCGTATCTTGTATATGTCTCGTGGAAAGCATCACGACCGAAAGAAAATTGGATTTCCTTCCTCCCATTATTTACAAGCTAAATAATGAAGATCCCGTAAATGTGGAATCCGCGCACTAAAATTCCGAGAGGGAACACGGCGAAACAATGCGAGTCTCCGATTCGGCCTTTGCGATGTATCGATTTATCTGAGATTCAAACCCATGGTAAAGGATCGATAAACAGGGTGTTCGCTACGAACATCTTAATAATCGATCCTTCACCACAGCTTCGAATGGGGGAAATATCGCCGATCGATCATTCGCGCCTCGCCACCGGGCTTTTGTCGGGCGAGAAAAACGCGGGATTCCTCGGAGAAAACATAAAAGGAGTGTAATTGAAAGTTCCCGGAACATTATGGCCGCGGGACCGGGGCCTCGGAAACTAGAGAAGTTATGTAAAAACTGTTATAAAATGTACTGAAAGACATTAAAATTATGGTGGGAGGTTTATGGCCATCATCCGCGACCGCCGCGGAGGGGTGGGGGGAGAAGGGTGGAATGGAGGAAGCGTTTTGGAGAAGGGGCTGCGCGGCGCACCATGGCTAAATACTCTCCGCACTTTTTTATGATTTCGCGAATTTTATGAGAGAACTCCGAAGCTGGTCTCGCCTTCATATTTCATTCCAATCGCGACCCTTCACCTCTCCCGCTCGCCTCGCCGCGCGCTCGGGAAAAACGTCGTATGTGCCTCTGAGCGCTGCTGAGTTTCCTTCGACGTGTGAGGAATTTTCCGAGAAAATTTTGGGATACTCTTTTTTTTCATTTGACAGACATTTTTGTCGGCATTTTATTGTAAAGTATATTTATAAATTCATAGGAAAAATGCGCGTGACTTTCGTCAAAAATAAATAATTGATCGGAGGAAATCAGGCAACGTCTGAATCCTCGCACGTTGTTTGTCTCCCGCCCGTTGTTGCGTTCGCCCAACTCTGAGTCTATTACTGCCTTGTCAAGGAAAAACGCCTTATGGACATTCAGACGTTGCCAAATTTCCCCCCAAAAATAAACTGGTTTTTGTTTTTAGTGATTTACATTGTTCCTGGAATTTTTCGTGAAATAACCTTCGCCCTGTAATCTGATTTGTTTGAGATATAAGAAAAATCTTCTTAACTCCCAGAAAATGATTATTTTGTCGAAGGAAATTTGGCAACGTTCAAATGTCCATACGGCGTTTCACCTTAGCACGGCGGATTAAGCAGTCGCGAAAGGGCTGAAATTGCATCGTCCTTCATCTCATGCATATTGTGCGAGCGGCTCATGCCGTAGCCAATAACAATTCACGTTTGATTCGCTATAGAGTGCGTTTTTCGACCGGTCGTTTAAGTTCGATCTGCGAGGAATGAGAAAATCGTCCCTCTTACGCTGCCATTTAGCAGGCATTTCTTTCAATGTCTGTCTCATGCAAAGATAATCAAACCAGGCATTTCGTCTAATTCCCGGTCTAGAAGTCAAATAATCTTACCTGGATGGAACTCCTTAGAAGAAAAAAGCCTTGGAATCTTCGAAGACGATTTTCTCCAAAATAAAGACTCGACATTCGCCGTTCACACCCATGTCGCAGTCAAGTAGTCAAATTTGGACAGTTCGCGAAATGTTGTAAATTTATGGCCAAGAGCTTACGAGTTTTCAATGTTTTGGGGAAATTAAACCATCAAATCTACAAACTCTCCTCGTTCCTTCCTTTCAAATGTTTTTCATGTATTTAAAAGTAAAAATCCTCGGAATTCTGTGTTCTATTAATATGCCGAAAATTTCAACATGAGTGTTTGCCCACGACCTGAAAATTGCTTGTCATACACTTTGTTACAGTGAATTCTATCTTGCATGAGCCATGAATTATTTAGTCCAAAATTAGGAACAGAATCAGAGTTTCAATCCACGTGTATATATTTGACTATTTGCCAAAATGCCTGATTTTACTATTTGCCTGCGACGCATATCGTCGTTTCCCAGGCAAAGGGCGTAATTCTACTCCGAGGGAGTCAAATTGACTCGAACGATTCGATTTTTCACAAGATGGTGCAAGTGCAATTTTTGTCCAAATTTTTGACTGATTTTGGCATGAGATCAAATGAAAAAAAAAACAGTGATATTCTCAGTCAAATATGCCAAAGATACTACAATTAAAATTGCAATTTGTGTGGGAAAATTTGGCAACATTAAAATGTAGTAACGTCAGGACGTCTACAAGTCCGAAATTTCCGAAAATAGTGCTGATCTTTTAAGGGCGGTCCGGAAGTACTGAAAAAGTGCTGAATATCCGCAAGAAGATCCGGAATTTTTTCACTTTTGCCGCAATGGACCACTAGACAAGGTACGAAGTTAAGCATTCTGATACATGTTCCTTAACCAGAATTTCACGTAAAACTCGATTCTTGCATTGAAAATTACTGACAGCAACTCATATTTGAGATATTAACGGTTTTTACTTAAAATTGGCTATGGGACATTTGAATTGTCCGGTTACAAGCATCACAATACTCTACAATCAAAGTGAGTCAAATCGCGCACTACAACGGTTTTGTCAATCAAACATTGATCATGTCCCACCCTTTATCGGTCAAAGTACAAACAATTTGCTATAGCTGAGCCAAAGTGTCAAGATTGAGATTGTCATACTTACGTATCGCAGAGACTGCCACGGCTTAGTTTGGTTTGTGATTTGACTCACGTAGACTATTGTGTTTTCATGAGCAGAAGGTTTAAATTCACGCGTCAAGAAACATTTGATATCTTGATTAGGAGCCGATTTCAGTAATTTTCGTCACACGAATCGTGTTTTACGTGAAATTTTGGTATAGAAACATGTATCAGAATCTTTAGCTTAGTACCTTGTCTAGTGATCCATTTTAGCGAAAAATTCAAAATTTTGAAATTTCCGAATTTCATCTAATGGAGGTACTGAACTTCTCGGAAATGTACTGAAAAAGTGCTGGATAAACATACTGATTTTTAGCCAGCCCGTCCTAGTAGACACCCCAGTAACGTTCTTTAGTAGGAGAAACGACGATATGGATATGTAAGAAAATTATGCGGCATCCTTCTTTTTCTTCTCGTGAAGACGATGGGAGGAATCTAGGGCTACCACAGTCAGGAAGAAACCGGGAATTGCCAGGGAATTTTAGAAAGTCAGGGAAAATGACGAAAATGTCAGGGAAATTTTCTTAAATCACCTTCATTTGCCTTTCAGAATGAGTTTTATATTTTGAACAAGAAATTTTTCCTGAAAACTATTTTCAATCATGCCTTCTTGACCATCCGTCAGATCTTCAATGGAGATGTTGCATGTGTGAAGGATTTGCGATTTGACTGCTGTTGCTTATGTAAAAGTTCGCGAGGAACACGATGGTGCCACTGGTTTTCTCTGAAATCATCTCCCAAGCTCAAAAAAAGCTCTCAAAGTGAGGCCAAAATGGAGAGGATATCCCACCCTACCCTGAGAGTCCACCTCTCCATCAAAACAAACTCTCCATGCAAAGATAGGGAGCAAATACATTGACAGGGCTGCCACTTCATTTGGGGACTCTAAAACTGAAAACACGGCAATCCTGCTAATGTATTTGCTCCCTATCTTTGCATGGAGGAGTTTGTTTTGATGTAGAGGTGGTCTCTCAGGGTAGGGCGGGATATCCCCTCCATTTTGGCCTCAACTTGAGAGCTTTTTTTGAGCTTGGGAGTCGATTTGAGAGAAAACCAGTGGCACCATCGTGTTTCTCGCGAATTTTTACATAAGAAACAACAGTCAAATCGCAAATCCCTAACACATGCAAAATCTCCATTCGATGACGTCATTGGGTGCCGGGACTCGAATACCGGTTCTCGTCTCGAGCGTACCCATATTCTTGCCCATCTACCGGAGACTTTCGAAATGATGATATTTTTATGATTTTGGTGATAAAATAAACTACATGACGTCTTGAAACTCTCTCTATTTCTCTTTCTCAGATTGGCAACATCTCCATTGTTAGGAAATTTCACCAAAATGTGTCAGGGAATTTCATTTTCTAAATTCCGTGGCAACCCTGGAAATTGGCAACGCTGACAATATCGGTAAGGGAGGACGCGAGCGCGACAGGATCAGAACGGAAACATATGTTTGAACGAAAATATTGAAGTCGTTGTTGTTAGATTGACCATTGTTTTTTAAGACCGGATGAGGCTCCGCGCGCCGCAGCCGTGCTCATGTAGGTGTACCTGCATTTTATAGAAAACGGGGGTATGTTTAATAATGATAACATTAAAAATTTCAAACAGCACTCCGCTCCTTTTTCACGAATGGGTGAATCCCGGGCAGATCCGGTGTAATTGCTTTCGATATATCATTACCCTCCCGAGACAAAGGATTACAAATTGGGCGTTTTAATGGACGAGACGTGGCTAACGATTTTTCTTTCCCCGTCTTTTCCTCCCGCGCTTCCGACCGCTTCTTTTCAATCGCGTCGTGCTGTGGCGTGGCGTGCTTTGCGATATATTGATCGATCTGACATTTAAACCTATGGAAAAATATCGATAAACAGGGTGATCGCCGCGAACACTTTAATAATCGATTCTTTACCATAGCTTCAAATGGAGAAATATCGATAATCGATCATTCGCGTCCCGCTGCTGGTCTCGTGCTTTGCGATGGATCGATTGATCTGCCGTTTCAAGCTACGGAAAATGATCGATTATCAGGGTGTTTGGAAATGACGGACCGGACGCCTTGATATTCGATTTTATTACCACGG